CAATGCTGGAGGGTTCATTTAGAAATAATGTCAGCCTCATTATTGAGCTGTCAGAAAAGCTATGATCAAAGCTCTCAGTGAATCTAACTACAACACGTTCAGACAGCTGACTGGAGACAAGCCAACACCTCAGTCTGTGAAGCATAAATCAATATCTGAACATCTCAGAACACAGATTTGTCCTAAAAAAAAATGGAAATCATTGTTTTTATCAAGACATGTTAAAGCTACTGATCAGATCTTTGTATAAAGTAAAACAGAACTTCCGATTGTATCTTAATATTTTGAGTTTTAGATAGCAACAAGTGCACAAGTACATTCTGGAATGGAAAACAACTGTGGAACAACTGAGGTTTTATTTTTAATAGAGTTTGAAAGGAAACTGAAATTAGTGTGAAGGCTGTGTGTTGCCTTCCTGCTCAGCTTTAAAATGTTCCTGACACGATGTCTAACTTCAGTGATGATATCTTGTATTAAGGGTTAGAATTAGTCATGGGAGATCAGTAAAAGCCCTGGAGCATTAACTTGTCTAAATCAGTTCACTTGAGGATCGTTCTTTAAAACCATTCTGATAGAGATTCACCAAAGCTCAGAGGCTAAGCTTACCTATTTAATTTTCTTGTAATTTATTCCATCTTCATATAACATTTTGAAAGACAATTTAAACTGTTACAAATATGTTATTTTTATTGTTTGGGGGGAAAAAATATGATACTGATGCAGATGTTAATGTTNAAGCTTACCTATTTAATTTTCTTGTAATTTATTCCATCTTCATATAACATTTTGAAAGACAATTTAAACTGTTACAAATATGTTATTTTTATTGTTTGGGGGGAAAAAATATGATACTGATGCAGATGTTAATGTTTGAATCAAAACAGAATGATTTCTGTAACAAACTGGCACAACAGAGAAATGCATATCAATGCCACAATTAAATAAACAATTTGATAATCCACAAATTCATAAACACACTTGAAATAATAGACTTTATCAAAGATCAAAGACTTGATTTAGATCCTCCTTTGCTCAAAGACTTAAGTGAGCATCATCATCCTCTTTCTCCTTCTTTAAAGAAGCATCCTCCTTGGTGCCATATCTTTGAAGTATACTTAGATTGATTAAAGGCCAACCCTGAATCACAAACAGGCTTTAAGCTTTACTTTTTGAGTCAAATTTGAAACCAACATTACTCTTATTTTTTTTTTTTCACCCACAAAGCATGGTTATCTTCACTCATTCACAAATTACATCATTCTGTGTCTTTATAGAAAATATCTTCTGCACACCTGAGTCGAACAATTAGCTAATTAGCAGGAATCCGGAGAACTCTGCTCGATGTCAATACCTCAAATTGATAAGGACACTGAAGCCATAGCTGAAATGCATCTGCGGTTGCCATAGTTTTTCCTGTCTGAATAGTGTTGGCAATTAAGAAAGTGTTAAAACCAGGAAGAAGTATGTTTCCTATTGCAAATTCATTTAGCATAAGGGTTACACTATATTTAGTAGTGCCTATTCTTGCACACATTCACATGTTGATTGTGGCAAACTCCATTGCGTCCACAACGCCATCCAACGCCACTGTCGCCCCAATAGTGTCTTGTTCGACACAATGCAGGGACAGATAGAGCAGGGAGTCTTACAAGCAAACCAATGTTTACAGGACAAACACTTCATAAGCCAACTTCCCTCAGGAGGTAAAAAAAAAAAAAAAAAGTAAAAAAAACAAGAATATAATAAATTCAAACATAACAAATCTGGTATTTTGAAACATTTCTTTCTTTATTAAGGGAGCAAAAGCTACTGTAAACTAACAGGTTTCCAGGAAAGTAGGCCAATACTTTATCCTATGTTCACTATGAGCTGTCAGTGTAAAATAGCATATTAAGGCAAATTGTCATTATTAAAATATTTAAAAACAGCAACTGTAATGTGTTTGAAAACCCATTTAAAGTTTAATTTATGGCCTTACCTGCTATGTGGGGGAAATATTATTATTTTTTTTTTATTTAGGCTATTTTGGATGATGAAAGCAGATGATGTGTTTCATCGCCACATCTGATGTGACACTCATGCTTGGCTAAATTTGCCTACAAAAGCTGTCAATGATGTTTTATTTATCCAGTGCCAGTTCACAACAGTACTGCTATTGAATAAGCTTGAGATCCATTAGATTAAAGTCTCACTTAGGTATTTATCTGCTTTAATATCACTATGCAGAATGAAAGGATTGCAGGCTGATACAAAGACTACAACATTTTCAACACTTGAACACACTAATAAACTAAATCACTTAGTAAGCACTCATTCAGTGTGTGTGTGGAGTCACACTGGGGACATGAATTTGGCTTTTTTTCAATGCCATCTTTGGAGGGAGGTCAATTAAATTTTCCATATGAATCAAACATTTTGATACTCATGTCTTTGTTATAAATTTTGCTCACTGTGCGGCTTTTTGAATTCTTGCTTAAACCCTTATGATTAAACTTTAACATTATCTGTAATTGTTACACCGTTTGTGTGTGAGCATATTCTAAAAAAAAAAGAATACAATGAAGCATCTGTGTTTCCTGCAATATTACCTTGTCGCGTTAAATGTACAAAATCATGAAAAGGATGTGCATTTCATACTCAAGAATATTATTTCATCAATTGATTCACATCTACCTGATCTACTTGGAATTTCAAGTCTATATTTATCTTTCCAAATAACATAACATTGATTCTAGAAATTCATCAATATTTTGTTTTCTGTGAAAATCAGTGTTTTAGCTTTATGTTGTGATATCATCCAAATGCTGTAAGCACTCACCTTTATAATAAATCTTTGTACCATCTGCAAACAAAACAAACATTTATAAACTTTACCTATGGATCATAATGTTTGGATCATTTTCTAACAGTACTTAATATGTGCCATACGTTTTTCATATTTATTTTAGTTTTATCTAATAGTTTACAACAATTATTCTGTTTAGATTTCCTCAATATGTTTCTGTCTTTTTTTGTTTCTACTGTCCTATAGATTCCAAATTCAATGTATAGCGTGTCCTTTTTTTCCAGGTATCTTCAATCCTTTTGTGATCCATGGAGTATCAAATATTAAGCTTTTTTTATGGGAGATAGATAGATAGATAGATAGATAGATAGATAGATAGATAGATAGATAGATAGATAGATAGATAGATATGAGCAAACACAATCAAACTCTTTTCTTAGTTAATTAAAAAAAAACAGCATATCAATATCACATTAATTTATGTTATTGCAGAGAAAAGCCAATAGCAGGCACAGCTAGGGGTAAGAGTTGCATGTACTTTCAATCTTCATTATTTAAAAAAAAAAAGATAAAGGATGATCGTTTCAAGTCTAAACTTGTTGAAGCCTACAGTAATAGCTGAAATGTAAAAGACAAATATGAAATTATGAAACTGGGCTGAATAACATTTGGTATTAGCCCTGCCTCCAATTACATTTTTTAAATGATCATGTTTTCCGTTTTATTGATTAAACTCAAGCCCTAACAGATAGGTGGATATATAGACAGACAGACAACAGACAGATGGATGATATATGTTAAGCTGTTGACAACATCTCAATCAACAGATTGGATTAGACAAAGGGGCTTAATATGATATTATTAACAGAACTTGTACCAGCTGAAGCTAAACATATATTACTTGGTGAGGTAGAGCGTGATAGTCTTAAAAGAAACTTGTATTTATTTTTTGTACTGCTTCTGCTTAAATACTGTTTTGAGTGCGTTGTTCTTTCAACAGATGTTGAAGTCTATTCCAGTTGACATTTATTTGACCAATCAATTAATCCTATGAATGGTTTCAACCATAATTAAAATAAATCTTCTCAAGTTGTGGTTTACCAAAACAATCCCTTTAAAATGATGTTATCGCAAAAATAATCTTTGTTTTAAGGCTCCGCTCCACATCACGTTAAAATTGCGTGGTAGAAATATCTCACTTAAAACCTGAGCAGTTCAGGTTTTACATTCATGTCTTTAGGATCTGAAACC